TTCTCTCTCTGGCATTTAGCATGCACCCTATAGGAAAAACCTCTCCAAAAAAAGAAAAAAAAAAAAAAAACCCAAGCTGGGCTCATGTGTATGCATGCCCCAAATCTTGAGAGGAGAATGGGGGGAAAAGGATTGCTCTCGCCAGTGAGTGCACATGCGGCGCAGGGGCTTTGTATTGTATTAATCTTTCACAAACTATGGAACATCTTTTTTCAATTTCTTATGTTTTGTTTGTCCTCACCTAAAAGTAGTAACTAAACAAGGCTTTTGCCCCTTTTTTCATTTTTAAAAATTTCTACAAGCACCCAGAAAGATCTGGATAGAATATTTGCTAAGTAATCCTATTCACTAGTTCTCACACCTGCTACTCAAGAGAAGGCAAGAGGGGCCAACAGGTGGCATGGTGGTTATGGCACTGGACTCCCACGTGGCCAACCACTGTTTGAGTCCTGGACCTGGCAGCTTGCTTTCTCACTTTCTCTCTCTCTCTCTTCCTCTGTCTCTAACCGGTGAGGTAAGAGACACTTACAGGTACTCTTGCAGACACTTGCACTTACTCTTGCAGGTACCCTGTAACAAATTTTTAAATAATAATGATAATACATAAAATAAATAAATAAATATTTAAAAAATAAAAGAGATAAAACAGTAGAAAGGGCCAGCAGGTGGCATAGTGGTTAAGGCACTGGATTCTCACATGGCAGATTATGGTTCAAGTCCTGGACCTGGCAGCTTGAAAATCACATGGGGTGCTTATGTGTGTATGACCAAAATCCTGAGAGGAGAATGGAGGAGAAGGGATTGTGGCATGGAAGGTGATTTCTCTCTTTTTCTCTCTCTGTCTCTCTCCGGCAAGCACAAGCACGCTATGGCAATGAGAGAGAGAGAGAGAGAGAGAGAAAACAAAGGGCGTAGCTGAGCTGGTCTTTTGAACACGATGAAAGAAGTAGCCCCAAGCCTCATTGAGAATGCCTTTCTCCATTTGTGTGCAGCCTGGTCTCCAACCGCTGGCCCAAGGACTTTTCATTTGCAGGTACCGAGGCTCTCTCCCAGGAAAAACACTCTTCTGTTTTCTGTTTTCTACTTTTGCAGTTTATTTTTCAGTTTTGTCACAATTCTCTCCTGCATCTCCTTCCCTCCAGGCCTATTTCCGCCGCCTGTCTACCAACTCTGACACCTGTCGGAGTAAAATTTTTTCAGATCTACTCAAGTATCAGTGAGGACACCTCAAGCACAGACCTAGAATCAGGCTAGCTCAGGACTATGCAGCTGACTCTTTTAAACAAGAAAGAGACCAGGAGTCATCTTGTTCAGCCTCTTCGTTTTCTCTCTTTTTCTTTCTTTCTTTTCTTTTTTCATTTGCCAGAGGTAGGAGGAGAGAGAGGAAGCACCTCCCACCACGAGGAATAGTCATGCCACAATCCCTTCTCTTCCATTTCTCTTTCCTGTCAGGATTCTGGGCATGCACACCCATGTGCCCAGCATGTTTCTCAAACCCCCGGGGCCATATGCAAAGCACATAATCAGCCATGTGAGATCCGGTGTCCTTAACCACCATAGACCAGCTCATTCTAGCCTCTTCATTTCCTAGGGGACATTCCCAAGGTACAAGTGGCCAATGCAGGTCTCCTGATCACCAAGCAGATCCCCACCCACCTCCCCTGTGCTCTGCTCCCTCCTCGGAACAAGACAGAGGGAGGCCAGAGGAGAGAGGAGCACAGGGCACCGCAGACATCCACCACAGAAACCCGCCTTTCTGGATGATGGACACCGGCTGCTCTCAGGGCCCCGAACTATCCCAGGTCAGGAGAGGGCACCATGCAGCCCACCAGCTAACTGCAGCCCCTACCTGTTTACCTGTTTTTTGTTTTGTTTCCGCTTGGTTTTTTCTCTGGTTTTTTTTTTTTTTTTTTTTTTTGGAATACACCATGCCCATTTGCTTACATATTGTCTATAGAGGCATTTGTGTTGCCAGGTGCCAGGACAGAGCTGACTACTTACAACAGAGACTGTATGGCCACAAAACCAAAAACATTTACTATCTGCCTTTTTACGGAAAGAGTTCACCAATCCCTGTTGTGGGTGGTAGAACATCATGATAATGATGACAATGACCATGATGACAACTCATTATCATTAGAAGGAGAAAATGAAAGAGGAGGAGGTAATGGCAGCAGAGGAGGAGGAGAGGGAACAAAGGAAGAAGAAATACTCATGATTACTTAACTGAGTATTAGGCCCTGGGCTAAGGGCTAGAAAATGTTGGCCAGCACCTGCATAGTGAATATCCAGTCCTGAATTGTGAGCAAAAAATTTTCTAATTACACATGACCTCCACCACCTGCTCTCCCCCACCCGCCCGCTCACTGCACTCCAGTCTCCAGTCTGAGGGTCTAAAAGATGCCACTCCTTGGTAAATGTCCAGTGTTGGCTACAAGTGTAAAATTACAACAGCCATAGTTACTGCTTCAACTACGTCATTTTGTTTTGTGTTTGATGAAGAAGGAATTCCCTAGACGAAAGAGGAAAAACCCAGAGTGATAAAGGCTTGCGTCCAGATTTAGCCAGCTGCTTCTAGCAGTGGCGTTGTCTTTGACACAGGCTCTTTGAGAAGAGAAAGGAGAACTACTGCTGGTCGAAGTTCTTAGTTAAGTCCTCCCTCTGCATGAAGAACCCAAGAGAGGGACCGCGCCTGTCTCATTCGCCTGTGTCCCTTTCCTAGCACAGTAGTTTTGCAGTTGTTGGATGGAAATAAGTCGTCCTAAACAGGTCCTCCATAAACTGTTGACACAATGCAGCGAGGTTTGCCCCAGACTGTGTCTCTCTGCAGCCAGAGCAGGCCTTCGCTCTCCAGCACTCAATGGTAGTGAAAGGAGCAGGAAGACACTGGGCAGAGGACAACATCAGAAAGTCCCTGAGGTCCTTTTGTGCTTAGTGTTCCTCTGCCTAACAAAGACACGGCTGCCCCGAGTAATCAAGTCCCCAGAGCCCACCAACGGGCCCAGACACCTGAGCCAGACACCGCAGGTCCCCTGGGCAGATCTGCAGAGAGACCAGCCTTCCTCCCCAGGAGAAAACCAGGTAGCCTGGGCAGAGCCCCACAGCATTCATGCTACATACATGTCTGACATGAGCTTGAAGGTTCTTCACCCCGAAGGACCGAATCACGAACCAGAGTTTAATAGAGCGAAATCGCCGGCTCAGAGGGATCTGCCAGTGCTAGAAACAAAGAAATACAAAGCCCACGGTTAGAGACAAGGGCGCCACTCTCCCTCGGGTGCTCCTGGGCATCATCCACCCCCCGCCCAGGCCTCTGGGGATGGACATTGTCACCATGACTTCTGAGCTGTTGCTAAGGAGCAAGTCAAGGCAAGATACCCAAAGGCTGCCCAGTTGTGTGACCGAGTCACCAATGAAGGTGGCCAAGGGGGCCATGTCCGAGAGCAGGACAATTGCAAACCAAGTCCTTGACCCTGAACCAAGGAAACAAGCACTTTGCTTTAAATTCTGCCTGAAGCCTCCATCTCAGCCTAGACATTCAAGATAGGGCAATATATTTTTGTCTGAAAGAATCGAAGTTTCTCAAAGAGCAGGAAATGAAGTTCTGGTTTGATTCCCTCCTCCAAGATGTGAAGTCTATTGGTGAAGAGCTGAGATGCTGGAGCCCTGCTGACCTGGCTCTCTCCCGTACTGGCTGTGCAAGTTTGGCCAGGGCTGCCTCGCGGAGGTTGGCTGAGATGGAGAACAAATGGCACCTCCCAGGGAAGTGGTGTGAGGACAATGAATGAAAAGCGCAAGAGCCTCAAAGGAAGTAGTCAGTAATTGTTGGCTACTCTAATGGTTAATAAAACAAACAAAAAATGTGAGCTACAAGGCTGGCCCCATAGCCTAGTGGTTAAGGAAGTCTCATCCCTCACGGTCAAATTTGGTTCAAATCCCAGCCCCAGAGGTTTGAGAAACACGCCGGGTACATGTGCATACGTGCTCCAAATCCAGACAAGATGGAGAAATGGAGAAGGGCGCGACCACGCGCCACTGGGGGGATGCTTTCTCCCTCTGTCTCTAGTGAGCGCGTGCTCCCTCTGGCAATTAAAATAAAAAGAATCTGATTTTTTAAAATGATACAAATCACAGTAGATTTCTGTCTGGAGCCGAGATGATTTCTTATTTAATCTCGCCACCTGGTCTTGGTCCTGTGAGAGTCCTGTGATCTCACGGGCACCCCTCCAGTGCTCAGATTTGCAAAGAGCCTCTGAATCTTCACCCGGTTAGACTGAAATGCACCCTTTGTTCCTGGTGACCACATTCAAAAGAGCCTAAAGGTCAAGGTCGTGGTCACCATGATTCTGAAAGTTTCTAAATCAATTCTAAATTGATTTCTCCCATTTGAAATCTGGGCGAAGTGTTATCTCAGGACCTCTCCCTTGAATGTCAGAAAGCTTCTACCACAATGGCTGTGGACCAAAAATAAACATTTGTCTGTTGAATGGTTATCTGCCCATCTCCAGAATTGCCACATCTCACTAACGTTCTCATCTTTGTCCTTTTCCCAGTTTCCTGAGCCAGGCACAGCTGAGACATCAGCCCTGGCTGATGGATGTTTCTGTAGCATAAAAGTACCGAGCCTTTGATTTCCAAGAAAGTCTTGCTGAGGACCAGCTTGGGGGCTTTTATTTACCAAGAAAGCATCAAACCCCAAAACAAGACAAAATCCTAGTAAGAGGGGAAGCATGAGCAACCCTCTGGACACTCTAGGGGAATAATGAATGGGTAATAGGGGTCATCTCTAAAAAGGTTTTGGTGTTTAGATGGTTGTGGCCAACTGGCTACTTTATTTCACTAGCAAATTAACAGGAGAGGTGGAGATGATTTTTATTTTTATTTCTTCACAACCTTTCTTCTTCTCAAATGTTCCTCTTCCTGTCACTACTCAAGACTAATTCATGCTGACCAACTGAATGGTTCTAGCCAACATTTTCTGTTCCTTTAGGAAATGCGGACTTACATAGACTGACCTGACTACTAACTTGAACCGTTCCCCAACTTCCTGCATCCTTTCAAGGTGTTGTAAGTCTCCCCTGCCAAGGGTAAGATAGCGCTCCATTCCCTGGTGCTCTCTGCTCTCTGTGCCAAGGGAGAGGAGAGGGGGAGGGAGGGGAGTTTCTTTGATAGCAGAGAATGTGGCTCTGATTTTTAGTAGATCCAGGGCCCCAAGGATTAGGCACCTAAATCTTATTTCCTGGGATCCTGTCCTGTTTCTGCCTCATCTCAGAACACAGCTGAGCTCCTGTTTAAACCCACAGCCACCTGAAAAAAAAAAAAAAACGTGGGACAGGAGTCAGAGCAGCTGTGTGAAAACCCCCAGGGTCATGACAAAGACTGTAGCTGCTATTTTCTAGAAGTTTCCTTATAGATTTGAAAATTAAATACATAGAATCAGAGGCAAGAGAAGGATAAGCATAAAGCAGTACCCTCTGGTTCTATTAATAGAAATTTTAAAAGTGAAGTTCCTCTAAGCCAGAGCTAGGAAAACTTTAATACTTTTTTTTTTTTTTTTTTTTTTTTGGAGAGAGATTTTTGCTATAGGGCACGTGCACTTGCCAGAG